AGGTAGTTTTACTCATGGCTATGTCCTCGGGCATTATAGCTTCCATCTGAAAAAGGCATTAGGAGAGAAGAGTCTTTGGCAACAAATCCATACACATACACATTAAAGGTTGTAGCTTCCATCTTCCTTTGTTAGTAGACTTGCTAAGAGGCCATGCCAGCTCAAATATGGCTCAGCACCGCCTGGCCACAAGAGCTTGCTGGTGGTGGTAGGGTTGTGACCCATCCACATGCCAAGACCTCACTGCTCTTTGTAAGTAGCCCTGCGGGCACAGGCAGTGACGGATGCCCTCACACGCTGCTGCCTGCTACCTTCTGCCCTCCCAGTACAGCCCTACCTTTTCTTCATGCCCCTTGGCACCATTCTCCCATGAAGCACTCCATGGTGGCCTGCCACAATTCTTCCCAATGACTTCAAAGCACTACCTTTGATTTGCTTTTAGGATGAGTCAACTTTTTTCTTAGACCTATGCTTCCCAACATGGTAGGAAACCTAGAGCCACATGATATAACTCATCCAAAAAAGATCTGCTTTAAGTGTAAACTATACACTGGATTATCTTGGTAACTTTAATATATCAATTACATGGTATGTATACAATGACTTGGACATAATAGTTCAACATAGGCATGAGATTAAGTAAAGGAATTATTGAATGAATTTTAACTATCAGCACTGTGAATGTAGCTACTGGAAAAATCTTACACTGCACATGAGGCACAGAGCACATCTCTACTGAATAGCACTGCTGCAGGTCATGAAATACGCCTGAGTTGGTGGTAAAAGAAATATTGACCACAAAGTGCTTTTAAGGAGACAGCACTGGGATCTTGGTGGACCCCACTCCAACTCAGGGAAGAGGAATCCTTGTTTCTAAGCATGCCACCAGAATCCTGGCTCCAGGTCTTATTCAGCCAGGCAAGTTTCTGTGCCAACAGCTCAGATTCTCCTTCTACATAGGTGAAATAAATCTGCCTCTTGAGCTGGAGAGACTTTTAAAAAAACAGGCCAGCATTCCAGCCTTCAGCAATGTGGAGTGCATTCTCAGTGAGGCCAGTTCCCTTTCTGTGGAGGCCGATAGGCAGACAACAGGGTGATCTTGCGGGTGAGTCATGTGTGTGACATCTGGATCCCATCTTCTTCGGTCCTTCTCCTCCACTCTTGGTCGCTTTCCCAGAAGGCGGGGCAACTAACTTGCAGGCACCACTCCCCTCCCATGGCGAGCTACTTCTCCATGCCAGCTCTCTGCCACAAGTCTTTCTCCTGCCCTTTGTTGGCCTATGACTTAACAGGTTATTAAAATTAATTTCAACATGTGGCTGCTGCTCATGTTTGCCTTCGGACTGCCACCAAGAGCTTATTGCTAATACCTGAACTTTGTGGCTTTGTTACAATTTCAGCTATTTTATGTGGATAAGCTCCTGAAATGCTGGGATACATCCTAGTGTCCTACTAGGAATCTGTGAAGAATGTAGTGTGATGACAAGATCCTTATAGTGATCTTAAAAACAGACAAAATACCCAATGCTTTTGTTTTGGTACTGGGGATTGAACTCAGGACTTCGTGCATACCAGGCAGGCACTTACACCACGGGGCGAAATCCCTGGCCCTGGCCCTGAATGCTAGAATGCTGACTTTTAATCCCTGGCTCACTGAGACTGCAGGGATAAAAAGCAGGTTTGACCAGGAAACCTCTTACATGGTGGAGGGACCCACTTTCTTCCCACTATGCAGCAACAGGCCAGTCCACAGGTCTGAGGCCCAGTCTCTCCCCTGGAATACCACCAAACCTTCCCCAAACCCTTGTCATTTTGGAGTGTAAGTGCTGCTCTGGAACTCTGGCTCCAAGTTCTCTGAGGAACAATGAGACTGAGACTTTATGAGTTCTGGACAAAGAGGCCCAGCAGGGCAGGGCAGTGGGAAGGAGGACAAATCTGCCTAATCTTCCTAGGTGTTCCTAGGAGAAATAGAAAATGTAAACAGAAACAGGGGGTGAAGGGAAAGGGGAACAGACTTAAGAAAAGAGGAAAGAAAAGAAGGCTTTCTTAGCAGGAGCATTAGGCAGTTGAAGCCTGGAAGACACTATCTTGTTTGAAAGTGGAGAAAAACCAGGGTATTAGACAGAAGCTGGTGTTCCCAACTTTGAGGTCTAGTGGTTCTGGATCTTGAAGGAGGTGGGCGTGAGCCAGTGCAGAAGACAAGGCAAGATGGAAACAATCTGGTGACCAGTCAGAAAGTTAAAACATCGATGTTGTGAGCCCCGAGTTCCAGCTCTGGGTATAAGCCCAAGGAGTTGGAAGCAGGGACTGGACATCTGAACACCACATCCATGGCCAGAATATCTGCCACAGTCCCAAAGTGGACACAAGCTGGTGTCTTTCAAAGTATGAAAGACAGACACAATATGGTAAACACATAAGAGTGAAACCACATTTGGCCATGAGAAGAAGGAAGTGCTGGTGCAGATACAGTGTGTACTGGACTCCCAAGCAATCTGCTACAAGAAAGGAGGTGAGGCACAGAAGACAGTAACACTATGATCCCATCTCCTGGAACTAGTTAGAGTATACAAAGTGGAGAGGTTACCATGGGCTGAGGGAAGCCAAGGCCTAATGGTTACAAGGTATCTGCTGGTGGTGATGGAAAGCTTGGAAAGAGTGGTGAAGGTTGTATAACACCATGAAAGTGGTTAATACCACTGAACTGTACACTTAAAAGTTACTACACTGGCTTATTGTATGTTTTATATATACATTTACTACCTATTGACCTTCTATATTCCACCAACATCAAAGTTGGATTCCTTTGTACACATTATCTCAATCCTTACTACTCACATACTTGATAATACTGCCATTTACAGATGAGAAGTCAGTGGTTCGGACATTTAATTGCTCAAAATTGCTGGGTGAGGTGGCACCTACCTGTAATCCCAGCACTTGGATGGCTGAGGCAAGTGGTTAGCTATTAGTTTGAGAACACCCTGGAGACATACTGAATTCAAGGCTCAGCTACATGGCTAAGCTATATGGTGAGACCCTGTTTCAAGGGGGAAAAAATTGCTCAAAAGCATAGAAGCAACAGATGTAAGATCTGAACCCAAGACTACAGCTCTAAAATCTAGAGTCTTCCAATATCTTGGAAACTATAGAACACAGTGTTTCAAACATAAATAGAAAAGTATATACTTTCCTTCCAACTCTGAAACTGTTAATTAGTAAAGAAGGACCATGAATCATGAAAGCCAAGAATTGTATGTCTAAATGCTGTACAGGTGGCGAATAAAAATTCACTCAGTATATTTTTCAACCCATATATCTATATACACACACACAAAAATATCTGTCTTTTCCCCTCTTCAAAATACCTGGTAAAATCATGTTTCAATCTTTCATGTTCTATATACCTATTTAAAATGATCTCTAAGAGTGTAAAGTGTCCATTTCCCCCAAAGATAATGTTCAGTGCACACACTTCCTATATTCCAGCTCACTTAATCCAATCAACCACTGCTGGGACACCAACCTTTTCCTTCCGTGTCTATTCTGACAAGCTGTGAGCCAGAAACAGCACTGTCCCTACATGCATCCTTCTTCTGTGAATGACCGATCAATAAAATAGTACGAACAACCCTCAGGCAAGACCTAATTCAGACTCATAGAAAGCTTGAAAAAAATAAAGCTTGAAGTGTTTTTGAGTTCCCAAAAGGCTTTATCTTTCCTCTGGGAACTCTTGGAGTGAGCTGCTGGCAGCAAGAGACTATTAAAGAACTTTGGATTCTCCCTAGGCCACTGCACCACAGCATCTGCTCACACCTCTACCTTAGGATGCTCAGGCATCTCACCTCACCAACTGCAACCATTACTTACGACATCTTTGGAATTATGCACCCCTTATGTACTGAACACTTGCTGCTCTAGGTACTAGGGATGCAGGGTGAGCAAGGGGACCAAGGCCCTGTTTGAATGGCTCTTATAATCCACTAGGAAACATAGAGTACTCAGTACTAAGCACAGCACAGGGCAGATTCAGCAAGCCCTGGAGGATCAGAAGAAAGACTGGGTCTGGATAAGATGGAAACCAATGGAAAACCATGAGCAGCAAAGTAATACTGACCTGAAAACCTCTGTCCATGCTATTATCCACTCTGACCAGAACCCTCTTTTGTATTATTTCTTAAACCCTTCAAAACCCAGCTCAAAAGTCACTAACCCAATGGTGTTATCCCTGGGAATTATAGGGCATTTGCTTTTCTGGTTATCCCCTAAAACTTGACACTGTTTATGTCACAATGCTTGGTTACTGGTATACTTTTTTTTTAAACATCAAGTTTGTATGTTCCTCTGGAATACTTTATTCATTTTTATTATATTAGTCATACATAATGCCTTGTCTGAAAGCTACGTATGTGTGTGCACCATTTTATTAACTGAAAGACCCAGTAAAAATATATTTAAATCTCTAAGGAAATTCACTTTATAAGTCAAGTCATGCAGCAAAGTACAAGATCTTTTAGGGGTAAATCTTAATAAATGCTCTCCAAGTTTAAATCTGCTTCATTTACATTTTTTTCAAGCATCAATGGCCTGCTGATTTTTAAAAAACAGTTTTACACGTTAATTAAAAAGGAGTAACTTCAACTAGGTAAGCTGCTTTTTTGCTACGAAGGCAAGGGCAAAAGCTCAGTGTTAAACAGTACATTTTCTTCCCAAAGACCATAGGCATAATTTTTGTTTAAAAAATTTATAACAATACAATGGCACAAAGCATTTTCAAGATCTTTTATAAAACAAACATATCACAATTAATTTTTTCTTTGCAAACATAAGGTACACGTCCCTTCCAAACCTATCTTTACTTTGCAAACAAAACATCGAAAATACATGCTTTTGCATATATTCAATAATAAAATATATACACCTAAAATTAAGAGCTACAATCCTTACTCTGAACAACAGGGAGATTTTAATTAGCAGAGCTAAAGGTAAGTACAACTTACCCAAGATCCTTTCCGTTACTGCCAGTGGAAATTCAAATATCTTTTCTTGCTTTTAAGTAATTGAGAATGATAGATCCACCTACAGTACCCAGAATGTGGCTGATTTAGAGTCAGGTTCCTCCTTTTCTCCGGCTCCACCCACCTGCTGCTGACTCTCCACACTCAGGCCACCCCCACAAAGCCAGCGAGATGCCTGCAGTATCTCCATGCACCCTTCCTTTAACTCAAAATAAAGACTTCCCTTCCAGTACTTCTGCTCTTATTTTAGTTCATTTATCAGGATCAGGCAGTGGCTTCACATTACTGTGAGTTATCTGTAAAGGAGCCAATTTCCCACACTGTAGACAATTTCCTGATCCTAGCTTTGTATCTGCTGCCTTGAGCTATATTTGAGCCAGTGGAAGCAGGCTGAGGGCTTTTTTTTCCTGCATTCAGTCACATCACACTGCGTAGTGTTACACAATGAACCACAGTTCTGAAGCAATAAGGCAACACCCCTATATGCTGCAACTCATATCCTGTGTGAAGCTAAGAATCCAGCCACAGACTTACTGAGAGCATCTGTAATATGCAGAAAAATGTTTAGAATAGTGGTGAGCAGCAAGGAGTGAACTCAGGAGGATTCGAATCTCTACCTAATGAGCCTTTCCCTCTCTGATTATGACAGCACCTACATCTCAATTAACAGAGCTTCTTCACTCTCAGGATGCCTCACCCCTTGGGTGCTGGTGCTGTGCCTTGGTTTTATCACTCTTTCAGTAGGAAGGCCCAGTCAGCTTGGAGACAGAAACAGCTTGCAGGCAATGCCTCATGTCCCAGACATCCTGGACCAACACTGCAGAGGAGGCAATGTGCCAAAAACCCCCAGACTGCCCCTGGGAGAATGAAGGGACCTTGGGTGGCAGCTGAGGAAGAACACAGGAGCTATGAGTGCAGCTCTGCTCTTTGATGAAGTATCCTTGTCCTGATGAACTGAGAATATACAAAGTCCCTTGGCCCACTTCTTGATGGAGATCAGGCATTTTTAGGATGGTTAAGAGCAGCTAAGAAAGAAACCGGGGCCTGAGTTAATACCTAAAACAAGAAAACTTCATTGCTTGCACATCACCAGCACTAGAGACAGGTGCTAGGGGCAAGCAGAGAAGACCCGAAAATACTGGACTGGGGTCAGAGTGGGCTGTCTCCCACATAGGAAGAAGTGGGAGATACAGGCTTTACTTCCACACTGCAATCTGAACCCTAGCCACCAGAGCTGATTCTGGATTCCTCCCAGCACACTCAGTACTGTAAAACCCCAGGCAAGGTCTCCCTGGCTTTGATCTGTCCATTTTCTTATAGGAGCAGAGAGTGGAATTGAGGAGCAAGCTGTCAGGGGAAAGGGCAAAAGTACCCCCAACACAACACACGTACAGGTATGCACACCAGAATGGTTCCATACCACAGAGACGAACCCCGAAGGAAACAGAACGGAAGTCTTCTGTCCAGGATATGGAATTCTAATTTTTTTTTGTGACATATATATATATTTGCTGTGTACTCAAAGCTGATCTGAACTCACAGGTTCCTCCTGCTTCAGCCACTGAGTGCCAGGATTACAGGTATGCATCATCATGCCTAGCCTAAATTGCTTGTTATTTATTGCTATTAAAAACTAAGAAAGAGAAACAGCTGACATCTTTCTGTGTTTCAACCCACTCAGCTACACACCCTGCCCACCTTTAATTTTGAGACAGGGTCACACTAAGTTGCTCAGGCTGGGCCCAAATGTCTGTGATATCATCACTCGCTTTTATCCAACTCTTTACTACTAATCACTGAGCACTTCAAAGGTGAGGAGCAGATGCTGTGATAGAAAGTGGGAGACATACCTACTCTGGGAAGTGTCCAGGAGAAATATCTGAGAGAACATTTAAACTGGAGCTGAAAGAATGAGAACGAGGGGCAGGAAGTTCTAGACAGAGAAAAGTGAAGCTCATTCCTCTTTTGGCATCGAAGCCCACTGTGTACGCCGTCCTAGCTATCACTTCTAGGTCTCCCTGTCATCCTCCTCCATCCTCTGCTCATTCTGGTACCTGGGCTTATCATCTCCATCACAACCTTCTGTAAGCTGGAGAGAGTTAAATACCCAGGCAGCCCACCAACTAATGGAGACCTCCACATTTTTACCCTTTACTTTGCTCCTGCCATCCCTACTCTTTGAATGGAAGGCCCTGTCTCTGGGTGGCTTCCACTTCTCTCATTTATAGCAGTGGCAGACTGGGCTCCACCATCATACAGCACTCCCACAGCTGGGTAGTGATGAACAGATAGACATGTAGGACATGACACTGATCCTAACTTCTCTGCTCTTTGATAAAGTATCCTTGTACAACTCTCATTCTTTTTTTTTTTTTTTTTGGTACTGGAGATGGAACTCACGACCTTGTACTTACTAGGCAAGCACCTGAGCCGCTGAGCTAAATCCCCCTCACAATTCCCATTCTTTAAAGCTGTCTAAACCCATTTACTGCTTTTTGAAGCAAGTATTACTTTACTACCTTAGGAAGAAAGTGTATCTCTGGAAAGTACTCCTTCAAATACTCCTTCTTCCCTTACATCTTGATCTTATCCTGGATCCTTCAGTCTCAGAAATGGCCCACTGGAGGTCAATCGTATCACATGCCAGACAGCCCTCTCCTTCTCTGTGGCTCTTCCCCATCTGGGGCATGTAAACAGGCATCAGTGCCTGCTGCTTTCAAATGAGTCTGTCTGAGTTGCTCCTAAGCTCCTATCACGCCTGTCCCTGTTCAATTTTTTATGAGTAGACTAACCTTCCATTTACTCCTAAACTCTGCAATCTGGAAAGAGCTTTCCTTAAAGTCACTGTCATTTCTTAAAAGCCAAGTCCAAAAGCAAACTTTCAGTCCTTCTCATACATGTGACATTTCTCAGACAACCCTCTCCAGGAATTCTTGTATTTTTTATTTTTGTATGGGGTATCAAACTCAGGATTTCGTGCTTGTGGTGCTAAGCTACATTCCTGGCCTCTCCCATGAATTCTAACCCTTGGCTTCCAGATCACTGCTTGTCATCTCTCTTGCCTTCCTTTAGGTGTAGACACCCCCAAATACTAACCTGGGTCCTTTCTGCGCGCCATACACTTTCTCTCTGATGACTTCCACAGTTCTCCTGGTTTCCCCATGCTAGGAACCCCCCGCTGGACCTTACTGAACTTCACAGGAACACAACAAATACCTGTGGGATACCGCCACATAAACCTAACAGGCAGTGGAAATTCATGATGCCTAAATGGATCACTCAGCTCTTCATCATGCCAACATCCAAGCTTTTCTCTTAATATACCCGTTGAGTATGGTGACCCTATTCAAGCAGTCACTCAAGCTACAAATCTCCCAGTCATCCCTGACTTCACAGCATCCCTGCTGCTAATTTAAACTCTATATGTCTCTCAGACTTGTCCCTCTATCTTACCTCACTTCATTGTCAGTCCCACCAGGGTCCAACCTTCATTATCATTTCCTTGGTCTGCTGCTACGGCTCCCTAGGTGAACTCTCCATCTCCATCCTGCCAAACTCATCCAAATCCAAACTCAAGCCAGGAAATGATCTCTCCAAGCCACCTGATGCCACTGCCCTGCCGAAAGCCTCTAGTGGCTCCCCACTGTGCTGATGACGAGGTAACCCACTGGGACAGCAGATAAACCCCAACATTACCTCTGCCTTACTGAGTTCCCCAAATCACCTCTGAACACTTCTCATCACTCACTTTACGAACCAGTAGCAAAACTGACACCATACGGCCTTCATCTTGAGGCTGATGCTTACCTTCCTCACCTGGAAAGACCACACCCTTCTGCCCTCGCCAGCTTTACAGCTTTGTACAGCTTAGCTGGAGAATCAAGGTTTCAGAAACCCTACTGCGCTCTGGGCAGCATGCTCCTGTCTGGACCAGCACACCTTCCTGGGAATCCTTTAAGGCCTTCTCCTTTGCACTGCAAGGGCCATTCTATGAACTGCTTTCCTCACTTTCTTGAATGCAGGAACTAGACTCCTCCTTATCCTTATGCCCATGTCCATGGCTGGCACAGATACAAGTCAGCTCTGAAATGAGGTCTTCTGGAGAACTTGCTTCCTACTTTCAGGAAGGGTGAAGGGGGGTCTCTCCTGCCCCTCCCCAGGACCTCAGATCCTCCCTACTGCCTGGTCCCTCCTCCTCTGGTCGCCACTTGGTCTGCGAACTCCTGTTTGCCTTGCAACCTGTCACTATCCCTGTTTAATGCTGCTGTCCCCTAGAGAATCAAGTCCTCATTGTGTGCAGAACACACCATCTCCCAGACCTGGCTGGCATTCTATCCTAGTGTTCACAGTTCTGGGAGCACAGGGCAGGCCTCAAGTAGTGTTCCATTGCAAAGCTCTCTTTCCCCACAAACCTGCCAGCAACTTCTAGACTTCAGGGAACCTGGGTTTCTGGAAGTGGGTATTTTCAAGCCAGGCAAACAGGATTACTGGAAGGTCTTGATTTGCCTTCTATAACCAAACAAATAGAAACAAAGAAACATATCCTGTGAGCAAAGATTCACTTAGCTTGCCTCCATTTACATAGTGGCAAACAAGCTAAGATTTACGCCAGCATGGTTTCCCTTAAATACTGAATCCTTTTTAATCACTCTCTCCTCTGCCTTGAAAATGTGCCATGACAGAACAAGAGTCTCTTCAACAAATGGTGCTGGGAAAACTACATTGCCATCACCTTTCTCCAAAGAATGAACTGTCCACAAAAACTCATTCAGTATGGACTATACACCTATCATAGAGCTTTCAGAGAAAACACAGAAAATCTGTGTAATATTTTTTTGGTCCATGATGGTGTGGACAGTTATTCTGAAGAAAATGAGAGACATTATGGCAGCCATTGTTGATTTCCTGTTGTCTTGTTTTGAAGTCCTGTATCACCTGCATTGTTCTGTTCTGATTTGCTTTACTGTTTTGTTTTAGTCTCTTTTTAAGATAAAATTTTAAAAAATTGGATTGGGTACTGACTTCTTGGATATCACAACAAAAACAGCAAAGTGCAGCAGACCTAACAATGGAACATCACCCAGCCTGGAACAGGAAAGGCGGCCTGCCACATGCTGCAGGTGAGTGAAGTTTGAGGGAGGTCACTGTGCTGACCCCACAGCTGGAAGAGTACAAAGTCTATGGGGCTCTTCCACATGAGTTAGCTACAGTGGCTCAGTTAACAGAGAAAAGAGAATGAACAGTGGCCACCAGGGCCTAGGACAAAGGAGGAGTTATTTAATGGGGGTAAAGGTTGAGTCGGCAAGATAAAAATCTTCTGGAAAGTGGTTTCATACAAACTTAAGTATTTTGTAGCACTACAGAAC